TCTTTTGCGAATAACACGAAAACGAAAAAGAATCTCTGAATAATTGTTAAACAAAAAGTGTTCAAAATCCTAAGAGCTTCAAAATAATATCCAGGAAAAGGGGCTGGGTACTCAAATTAGGGGCCAAAAGGGGCTAAAAGTCTTTTCGATAACTCTTTAACAGTCTATAATTTGTTATACATTACTGAAGCAAAAATCTTTATTTTAACAATCTACAACTGTATATTATGATTTGAAAGTCCTACATTACGTAATTAGGGGCGAGAAGGCTAAATCTTTGACGCTTTATATCTCAAAAGTGAGAAATATTTTGATAAGTAATACTGAGCAAAAGATGTTCAAAGTCATGTTCTAACAATCTGCAACCTTTCATTTTTCGTTAAACGTCCCCTTTAGGGAGTTCAATGGCTGGTCCCTTAATATTTCTTTTGCGAATAGCTCAAAAACGAAAAAGAATCTCTGAAAAGTTGTTGAACAAAAAGTGTTCAAAATCATAAGAGCTTCAAGATGATATCCAGAAAAAGGGGCTGGGCACTCAAATTAGGGGCCAAAAGGGGCTAAAAGTTTTTTTCGATAACTCTTTTACAGTCAATATTTTGTTATACATTACTGAAGCAAAAATGTTCATCTCAACAATCTACAACTGTATATTATGATTTTAATGTCGTATATTACATAATTAGGGGCTACAAGGGGCCAGAATGCTAAATCTTTGATGCTTTATATCTCGAAAGTGAGAAATATTTTGACAAGTAATAACGAACAAAAAATGTTCAAAATCATGTTCTGAACAATCTGCAACCTTTCATTTTTCGCTAAACGTCCCCATTAAGGAGTTGAAGGTTTGGCCCCTAAATATTTCTTTTGCGAATAACACGAAAACGAAAAAGAATCTCTGAATAATTGTTGAACAAAAAGTGTTCAAAATCCTAAGAGCTTCAAAATAATATCCAGGAAAAGGGGCTGGGTACTCAAATTAGGGGCCAAAAGGGGCTAAAAGTCTTTTCGATAACTCTTTAACAGTCTATAATTTGTTATACATTACTGAAGCAAAAATCTTTATTTTAACAATCTACAACTGTATATTATGATTTGAAAGTCCTACATTACGTAATTAGGGGCCAGAAGGCTAAATCTTTGACGCTTTATATCTCAAAAGTGAGAAATATTTTGATAAGTAATACTGAGCAAAAGATGTTCAAAGTCATGTTCTAAACAATCTGCAACCTTTCATTTTTCGTTAAACGTCCCCTTTAGGGAGTTCAATGGCTGGTCCCTTAATATTTTTTTTTGCGAATAGCTCGAAAACGAAAAAGAATCTCTGAAAAGTTGTTGAACAAAAAGTGTTCATAATCCTGAGAGGAGAGCTTTAAAATGATATGATGAGAAAAAGGGCTGATCCCTAATTTTAGGGGCCGTGAGGGGCCAAAAGTCGAATTTAGATGTCTTTATTGTTCAATGTCTTTTTACAGATTATGGAAAATCATTATTTTAGAATGAAAATCTCAATCAAAATCTGATCTCATCTCATCAAGAATCGAACGGAAGACCCACTCGTTGCTCGCAACGAGATCGTATCTAGTTCTTATTATGTTTGTATGCTATGCAATCCTGTAAATCCCTTGGAAAAGGCTGGGAAGGGGGTGTTTAAACAAAAAACAGTACACGAAATACAAAGAACTGTTACTGTTCAGGATAAAGTAACATTATAATATACAGGGGGCAGTTCTAATGAGAATACTCGATGCTTATTGTTCGGTATATCTGATAACTTTCACTTCACTTCCTCCAAACTTTCCCACCCATAATCGTCCGAGATCGTCAATACTTAACGTACATGAATCATAACTACTTATGCTACGGAGAAACTGTCCGTCCTGATCAATGACATGGATACATTTATTCCCTTGACCCCCCACCAGGATACGACCATTACAGTCCGTAGCAATATTTGATGGAATAAAACTTTTCTCCGTTGCATGTATTCCTTTATATCGGTATCGAAGCTTTCCTGATTGGTTAATCACAACAACGGCCCTGGCGTTGACATCAGAAACACAGATATCCCCATTGACATTCTCCGTCACATAGAACATTTTGTTTCCCTCACCAAACAAACAATCCCCATGGTCATCTTTCTCTATTTCTTGGTTTACTTGTCGTCCTCCATAGCGTACTATCTTGTATCTTTTGTCGTCACTGGTACCCATGCCGACAAGCAATTCACCTGATTTCGTACAGCACAACCCTAGTGGCTCCCATTCCTTTTCAACCGAGATAAAGTTAGAAGATTTCCCCTCCCTGACAATATTAATTGATCTATTCATTCTATCTGTGTACATCAGCTCTCCATTTCTTGAAATCGAAATGTCGCTAGGGTGACCATTCCATTCCAGACAACTGGATATAACAGTCTCCTGTATATCACCCTTTGTGTTGACTCTGTGGATGATTGACTTTTCATTGTATGAAATCCAAACCTCTTCAGTTCCAAGGCATGCAAATTTCCTCAAGTTGTTCTCAGTTGTAAATGTTCTAATTTCAATAGCTTTATCTAATAAATTTCGTGTTTTTGAGATTAGTGCCTTTCTTTCGCTGGTCTGAGGTAAAATCACAGGACCAATCAGTTCTCCGAAAAGTTTATGTAGTTGAATTGAATCTGGTGGTTTGGGGACAAATATTGGAAGTCTAAATTCAACATTCAATAAAATATCTCTGTATAAATTTTGTGATGGTAATTCGTATTGACTTATTTCATTTGCATCAACAGATTGAATGACCTTTTTATTCTTTTGAACTGCTTGCATTAAGACTTGGATTGTATCCATGATTTCTGTTTGACACTTTCTCAAATCTCTGCTGCCAGATTCTTTCATTTCAGAAATGAGATCTTTGTTTTTCTGAACAATATCATCAATAACCTGATGCCATTTCTTCCCGTGTTCTACAGCTAATGTTTGCATTTCATCACATCTTGAAAATGAATCTGCTATTTTGGACTCGATATGGCTTTCTGCTTCTTCAAACTGAGGAAGGATATCTTCAAGACTAGCAGTGTTTTCTTGTATTTCGTGTTTTGCTGTATCAATGATTTCAGAAAAATCAACAACATCATGACCTTTATGGAGGCCTGTCAAACATTTTATGCAAACTGGTAGATGGCAGTCTCGACAAAATACAGCACATTTCTCAGTTTTGTGAGCTCACAATTTGTAAATTTTAGCTGGAATTTTCTTTCCTTGTATTTGATAATTTCATGTGCGGAGGAAGATGACGTCATATAATGTTTTCCGACGCATTCTTCACATAAGTTTACCTGGCAGGGATTACAGTGAAGCTGAGCGGCTCTCCTGTCACAGAGGTGACACAGGATGACGTCTTGCGCCATTGTTTTCCTGCTGGCCATTGTGGCTCCTTTACTGATGTTTTCTCATATCTAAAAAGAAAAATGACTGAAACTACATTTTATTCATAGATCATTCACTGTCGTTGAAATCAGTGACTTGTTTGGGGCTACTTCATTAATATTCACATAGCAAATTATTTGCTGCATTTTAACGATCGGTAGCCTAAAAAATTTGATCCACTAATCAAAGAGAAGGACATACAATAAAAAATAACTTTGTTCAAACCCAAGTTTTACTGCAATTAAAGACCAGAAGACATTTAATGCAACATCAAGTATAGACCTCTTTAAACTTTTCAGTAAAATGCTAGCTTTAAATCTGTCGTTCAACGGTTCATTTTCCCGACTTCAAAATATTTTTTACATTTTGCTCACCATGCATTATTTCATAGAGACAATATTATACCGTGATTATTCATTCACTAGTATCAATCAAATTTTATGTTTCTCTATCTTTCTAGAATAAATTTCTGTTGTTGATAATGGTGGATCAAGATTTCGACTCAATATCAAATTCTTGATGATAAGGTTATTGTGCAGCATGATAAAAGTGGTTTTTTGACGTATATTTCAGCAGAAATTATTAAGCTATTTGGCCATATTTGGCCATTTTGTTGTTCGAGATCAAAATGTTACTTATGGTTATTTTGATCAAATCTGAAAAAGTCAGTATCATTGAGTAATAAGATATTGAAATCCTTGTTTGACTCTTGCTACCCATTACTTCAATACAGAATTATAAGAAGCTCGTAGTATTTCTTGAATCCATAATTTTTAAGTCTTAATTCTAATGAGTTTCTCATCTAGAAAAAAAATACTTTCAACTTAATTGGTTGAATCTGATTCGTCAAGAAACATTTATTATAAAAATCTATTACATTCTAATCCATGAAATCATGCCCTGCAGCAAGGCAACAGTCAACATTGCTTGATGATGGGTGACATTCCATATTTCAAAATAAATGTTGATTGTGCAGAATTTATGTGTGTATGGTTCAATGTTACAAGTTTGTATATTTAACATTCAGCATGATATAATAAATATATCATGTAGTTGAGGGTAACTTTGAAAATTTCCATCCCTCGAAAACCATTATCAATCGAGGTGCAAATTTTCAACCCGAAAACCATTATCGACAGAGGAGCAAATTTTCACCTCGGCTGTGCCTCGGTTGACAATGGTTTTCGTGGGGTAAAAATTTTCAATGTTACTCTCAATTACATGCAGTATTTATAATAGTGTTGTCAAGATTTCAAGTTATGCTGTTGGATTTGTAAAAAGGACTGTGTCATATGTCTAAAATATTTTTGTATATATTGAAAATAAAAATGTTTATTTTTATGTCTTGTTTACAAAAGTTTACAAAAAAATCATTTTTTTAACGACGGATAAGAAGAAAATATGTCGACCTCGAAATCACCTAGAAAAATAAGGGCATTACATAATGATGTGTATATTGTTCTTTACTAACTTTAATACATGTATTACTAGCTGCAGATCTGTAGCTCTCCGAAAAAAAATATGTTGATAGACCGGAGAGCTACAGTGCCACCCATTGAAAAAAAATGTTTATTTATTGCGCACAAAAAAGTGCGCTCGGTTCTCTATTTATTTCTCCATGTTTTTAAAACTGTAATCTCAAAATATTACTAACCGTGTGTTCCAAGCATATTCTTTCGCCGTTTCCACAACCAAACATTCCTCATAATTGTTGTTAATAGTCCTCCTGACCCTGATATTGTAATCATCGAACATTTTGTTTATTTATACTGCCATTTTGGTTTCAAAAATAATTCGGTCCAATATGCTTCGTTTAGATGTCAACTACGAGAGTACTTGATAGAAGATAAAGGAATTTTTTGAAATCTTTCCTTATTTGCAATTGAGGTAAGAATTTGGAAGAATTAATTCAGAACCGAGCGCACTTTTTTGTGCGCAATAAATATACAGTTAGTATATAGGTCCCTGTTACATCCTTGTCCTAAAAAGAAACAATCTTTACTTTACTATATCTACTTTTGACTTCAATGTTGACAACGTTTCCCTCGATACCTGAAACCATAGACCTGTAATTGCTACCGAATATCCATGTGTATACCTTATAGTATGAAGCCGTGAACCCCTCTATTTACCAGTATGTACATATACGAGGGGTGATCCAAAAAGTAATGTCACAACTTTGATAAAATTGTTATAAATCGACGTAAAACAACAAAATTACACATGATGGAAGCTTTATTTATTTCAAATCAGATCTGAAAAATTCAAAGGAATATGATGTATACTTTCCAAAATATCGGATTTTAAACAATGTGCGTTTATGGTAGTCGCCGCACCTAAATATAACGTCATATGACGGATACGTACCGTCATACTTTTGGGCGCTTCCCTTCGTTTCATTAAAAAATATTGTGATTCGCAAACACTTTCACAAGTTCCACTTTTTTAAAGAGTTCTTGGTACCATCATACACTCAATCCTTTCATAATTAAGCCCTCTGTCAAAATTTTTGAACATGCAGTAGCAAAGACAAAGTAAAACTTAGAAAATCGTATACTCTATACGTCTGTCTTGTTTGAAGTCAGACACCATTGAACGTTTCCGTCCGATCTCCTTTCTTTCGGTCTTTTTGTCCTCTGCTGATCATTCAGTGACCAATCACCCGCCCAAAATTGCTGATACCATCCGGCAATATGTCTCTTATTTAGATTCTTTATTCTGTAAGTCTGATTAATTAACGTAATGGTCGCTTGTGATGATTCCCATATTTTGAAGCAACAAATGCATTACAACTCTTCGAGCCGTTTTTTTTTTCCATTTCGAAAATCCCTTTGTTCAATTCAACAGATTAACCCCCTTCCCCGCAGTCACGCATTTTAACGCATATACAATTTCCTATTTCTAACGCAAAATCGCGCATATACCGTTTCCCCACAATCACGCATTTTCACGCACTTTAAAAAGTTCAATTTATCTTAAATTTAATGCCAATTTCCTTATATTTTATACTCGTAAAAATCTCATAAAATAAGAAAAGTTATTTTTGTATTAAAATATTAAATCATAACATTATTTACGCTAAACTTTACAGAAACATGTACCACGCTATAAGGTGCTTGCGGGGAAATGGTAAATTTCTATTTCTATGACGTGAACTTTACGTGAATGCTGCATAACAGTTCAGCAAGTTGTAAAGAGTTAAACCAACAATGTTTACAGTCACAAATACCAATGCCGTCGTTTAATTTTCAATCAACGATAGAAAATGACAAGAATTGTGTCTTTTTAAAAAAAAAAATTGGGAGATTATGTGCTTTTTAGAATCTTTTAAATGTGTTTGTCTTTTATCATTCTAAAAAAAAAATACACTTTAAAACATGACGTTCCGTTGTGACGCGGCGACACCCCCTATGCTCTATATTTTAAACATCTATAAAATAAATTCAATATAAACATATTATCAAATTAAATTTCAATGTTCATTAGATTTATATCTGTGGATCTTTTGGTATATTGTTTTTAATAATATGAAATTATTATTATATCATTATTATATGAAAACATTGAACCAAATATAAAAGATATGGACACTGTGACATTACTTTTGGATCAACCCTCGTACATGGAGGTTGGAGGTTGAAACAACTTGGGTCGTTACCACGCGGGTCGAACACGGAATCGGAACGTAACCACTCGACACCGTTCATCTAACTTAAAACGAAAGTAAGAATTTTGATAGAAAATGAGAGAAACATCACCTGTATGGTAAGAATTCTCAACGGCTGACTTCGATCATGAACTTGAGAAACTGTTGTTGAACTAGAGTAACATCGAGCCCGATATAGTTTAACTAGAGTGACGTAATTTTTCTATCATAGTTCTACCCTCGTGTTTCCGTTGGTAGAACTATGGTAGGAAAATTACGTCACTCAAGTTAAACTATATCGAGTTCGATTTTACTCTACTTTCAACAACAGTTTACTCGAGTTCGTGATCGAAATCAGCCAATGTGTTTAAGTGCAATTTTGATGTTTCACTTAATCAGCTGTTAATCAGTTTTACAGTTAATATGTTTACGGGTCAAATTAAATCTTCGAGTAAACAATTAACAGTGATTATTATACCTCTATTGATAATACTCGAATTTGATTGGCTGGTAAGCAAACTTTAAAACACAACAATGACTCCAAATGGTACTGTTTACAGCAATAATGACCCCGGAATCATCATTGCACGTGGGATATAATGACCCGGTCATTATTATTAATGACCGCTAAATAATGACCTCTTAATCAAAAAATCCTATTTGAGTGAAGTTAATGCACAAAATAATAATTATTCGAGAAAAACAACATGTTTTTGAAATTGTGCATGGTCTGTTTTGCATTACCATACCGAATACGGTTAAATTTTATCGTTATTACCTAAACGGTTTGCTCATTTCAAAATAACGTTACATTAATTCAGTTCAACGGAATGTAGAAGCGGCTCTTTAAAGAGTTGAATTCTGTGTTAGATTTTGACTGTGTAGAGGAAAAGTAATCCTAGTTATAACAATGATGTCGCTATCAACCAAATATTGTTTTAATCAGTAAATCATGATTCAAAAACTTACACTACTTGTAGACGTCAATGTAAACAACTTCACTATACGGAGTGTAGCGAATCCCGATCCCGATCAAAGAAAGAATTGATAACGGTTAGAGATTCATACTTTTCAATATATATCGGTATAATAAAACAATTGATTACCCCTTGTGAGTTCAACATGGTGAAATAAGGACCCTCGACCTGGCCCACTCGATGACCTGCCCTGACCTCGGCCGCTACGCGGCCTCGGTCAGGTCAGGTCACCTCGTGGGCCAGGTCTCGGGTCCTTATTTCACCATGTTGACCTCAAAAGGGGTAATTAATTGTATATTAAAGCTCATCGTCCCATATAATCTGAGTAGCTATGAAACATGACTTTTAAAAGCACCTCTCGGATTAAAAAGCAGTGCTTTATATTTAAGAGCCTTCAAAACTATTTCCAAAACAGTTTCATTTTTTGAAATCGGTTGAAAAATAAAAAAAGTTATGATATATTTTTGGTTTTCATCTTTTCACATCTTGAAACAGAAAATGTTGCCTTTTTTTTTTAAATTAAAGGGACAAAATCTACTATGCTGCAATTCTTCATTTAATGCAAAGTACTTTACAGTAATTATATAAATAAAAAGATGTATATTTAAATTGTTTTCTAGCGTGTATAATATAGCCTATTATTAACAAGAAAATCAAATACTTTATGGTTGTCAGAATTTTTAAGTTCGAAGTGTGGTAACATTTTCACCCTCTTTTTCATTCTTTGCAAGATAGAAACTTAATATCATGATCAGATATTCTGTGATTGCATGATTAATATCATTATATTCATGTTCAAGATGTAAAATGACTGAAATCTAGATCCAATAATGTCGCATTAACCTACTTTTTCAATACGGATATTGTTTCCCTCAATCAGATGTGATGTACACTATACAAAGCTCTGTTTGATTGTACCGTAATTTCTAAATTTCATTTGAAGTATTGTTGAATTATCTTTTATTTTTATGAAGTAAAACAAATTGATCTGGAGTTTCATGGATAAACTAATGGCTTAAGGGGCAATATCCCTCTGCTCCAAATTTCAAGACTTTTTTTTTAAAATCCAGACATTGATTTTCAGCAACAACTATAGCATTAAATTCAAATGGAAAATAGTTTGAAGTATGAAGCGTTGCTTACTTTTTCAGAAATGAATAATATGTCAAATCATGATGTGAAGAAAATTTGATATGGTAAATAGAAAGATTAATTATTTTTTATCTCACAAGTAAATTTGAAATATGAGGTATATATTAAAATAATATTTACTATCATACCTATCTAATTCCCATTAGAAAACATACTGAAGCGCTGCTTTTTAAATCAGAATAACAAATTGTTTTCTGTGCATGTAAAATAACACGCATTTATACACAAAAGTTGTCGTTCCATTATCGCCCTTGAAAATATTTTTTAATGAAACAAAATATTAATTAAATGTTTATAAACAATACTGCATCTGATATTTCTGTACAATTAAAAGAATTATAATTTAAGAGATAAAGATTTCTCAGTTTACACTGTTTAAAGGAACTGAGTATAAATGTTTTATGTAAACTATTATAAATAATTAATAAATATACTAGCAATAGAAACTACAAATCAACATTTGTACTTTTTAATAGGTTTGGTTGAGTTGACTATAGAATGGTCCTTATGAATGACATTTGTAAACTCTGACATGAAAATTCACTGAATTTCATGACAAAATGTCTGAAGAAAGTTATATCTCTCTTTTCAGAAGAGTTATCTCTCTTATCAGAGGGTTATTCCACCTTAAAAAGAGGGGGTAATAATATTATTAATATGATTATCAACTGACAAGTAAAAGTTATCATTTCTTGAGTGTATTTTTGTATTTAGAAAGCCATCTTCAATTTTTAATACAATTAATGATTTGAACATATTTTATTGTAATATAATTACAAAGGGATTGAATACAATTAATATGAAAAGTGATAAGCTGACACTGTTATTTGTTGAATACCCCCTCCCCCGGTATGACCCCCATCATTGTATGTCACCTTACAAAGTAAAAATAAACTAAATTGTTGAAAGCAAGATATTCACATAGTGTTGTGACCATTTTGCACCTTGCAATTTTCTGGGATCCAGACAGCAAAGGGCAAGTAACCTTATCGGGCAAAAATAGTCAATGTGATCAAACATGATTTGGCATTGAATACAAGGTTTTAAATAATATTTTAGATCAAATTCTCATAGAAATTTATATAATTACTTTACTGTTTTATAAAATTCAGGTCTCCTTGGTGTATATTCTGAAATTCAATTTTTTCTCTCGAAAGAAATATTTCATTTCTATTTTTTTTCCATGAAAATTATGCAAATAATTTATTTTCGTCGATATACACTTGCAGTAATACTTCAAGAATGTTTCTGAAAAACATGTCGTCGTCTCACTGTATCAGTGCGTATCACACAACCACCCTTTTCTTTATTTTTTACACCATTTTTTGACAACAAAATTTTAGCAAATTTTAGAGTTACTGCCCTTTGCTTTTCCATTGCTATAATCAGATAAGGTTTGTGTACACAGGCACTTGACGTTACTTGATAGAAAATGAGAGAAACATCCTGTATGGTAAGAATTCTCAATGTGTTTAAGTACAATTTTGATGTTCCACTTAATCAGTTATACAGTTAATATGTTTACAGGTCAAATTAAATTTTCGAGTAAATAATTAAAGCTCATTGTCCCAGATCTATATAATCAGATAAGGTTTGTGTACACAGGCACTTGACTTTACTTATTTTTCTTTTAATAAAAAAATATACACATACCTAATATTTTTTTTTATTAAAAGAAAAATAAGTAACGTCAGGTGCCTGTGTTTGTGTATTGTTATAAACTTTCCAACTAAGAATGAATAGCACATGATCTGTGAAGTTAATATCTCAATCTAATTAAAATTAGATGTTCCAAGTCTGCTTCTGCTTCTCAAACAGTAGTGGATATAGGACATGTAATTTTCATCAGATTGTTATTATTTATTATTGACTTTTAAGCATACGAATTTCAATATCACCTTATAGAAACACTATTCGGTCGGTTATGATAAAATAGTGAAAAATATAATCATAATTTTAAAGATATTTCAAAAAGGGGGTTTGTCATACATGTATTAATGTTAGTAAAGAACAATACACATCATTGCCCTTATTTTTTCTAGGTCATTTCGAGGTCGCCATATTTTCTTCTCATCTGTCGTTCAAAAAAAAAAATGATTTTTTTGTAAACTTTTGTAAACAAGACATAAGAATAAACATTTTATTTTCAATATAATATACAATAATATTTTAGACAGATATAATTTGACTGATACTAGTAAATGAATAATCACGGTGTAATAATGTTTCTATGAAGTAATGCATGGTGAGCAAAATGTAAAAAGAAAAAAATTGGAAGTTTGGGGAAATGAACGACAGATTTAAAGCTAGCATTTTACTGAAAAGTTTAATGAGGTCTATACTTGATGTTGCATTAAATGTCCTCTGGTCTTTAATTGCAGTAAAACTTGGGTTTGAACAAACTTATTTTTTTTATTGTATGTCCTTCTCTTTGATTAGTGGATCAAATTTTTTAGGCTACCGATCATTAAAATGCAGCAAATAATTTGCTATGTTTATTAGCTCACCTGAGCTTAAAGCTCAAGTGAGCTTTTCTGATCACCCGTTGTCCGTCGTCCGTCCGTCTGTCTGTCTGTCCGTCCGTCCGTCCGTCCGTCTGTAAACTTTTCACATTTTCAACTTCTTCTCAAGAACCACTGGGCCAATTTTAACCAAACATGGTACAAAGCATCCTAGGGTGAAGGGGAATTTAAATTGTAAAAATCAAGGACCAAGTCCCCTTACAAGGGGAGATAATCAAGAAAAGACAAAAATAGGGTGGGGTCATTAAAAAATCTTCTTATCAAGAACCGCTGGGCCAGGAAAGCTGAAACTCATGTGGAAGCATCCTTGGGTAGTGTAGATATTAAATTGTTAAAATCATGACCCCCGGGGGTAGGGCGGGGCCACAATAGGGAATCCAATTTTTACATAGAAATATATAGAACAAATCTTTAAAAATCTTCTTCTCAAGAACCACTGGGCCAGGAAAGCTGAAACTTATGTGAAATTATCCTTGGGTAGTGTAGATATTAAATTGTTAAAATCATGACCCCCGGGGGTAGGGCGGGGCCACAATAGGGAATCCAAGTTTTAAATAGAAATATATAGAACAAACTTTAAAAAATCTTCTTCTGAAGAACCACTGGGCCAGGAAAGCAGAAACTTATGTGGAATTATCCTTGGGTAGTGTAGATATTAAATTGTTAAAATCATGACCCCCGGGGGTAGGGCAGGGCCACAATAGGGAATCCAAGTTTTACATAGAAATATATAGAACAAACTTTAAAAATCTTCTTCTCAAGAACCACTGGGCCAGGAAAGCTGAAACTTATGTGGAATTATCCTTGGGTAATGTAGATATTAAATTGTTAAAATCATGACCCCCGGGGGTAGGGCGGGGCCACAATAGGGAATCCAAATTTAACATAGAAATGTATAGAACAAATCTTTAAAAATCTTCTTCTCAAGAACCACTGGGCCAGGAAAGCTGAAACTTATGTGAAATTATCCTTGGGTAGTGTAGATATTAAATTGTTAAAATCATGACCCCCGGGGGTAGGGGGCCACAATAGGGAATCCAAGTTTTACATAGAAATGTATAGAACAAATCTTTAAAAATCTTCTTCTGAAGAACCACTGGGCCAGGAAAGCTGAAACTTATGTGAAATTATCCTTGGGTAGTGTAGATATTAATTGTTAAAATCATGACCCCTGGGGGTAGGGCAGGGCCACAATAGGGAATCCAAGTTTTACATAGAAATATATAGAACAAATCTTTAAAAATCTTCTTCTGAAGAACCACTGGGCCAGGAAAGCTGAAACTTATGTGGAAGCATCCTTGGGTAGTGTAGATATTAAATTGTTAAATTCATGACCCCTGGGGGTAGGGCGGGGCCACAATAGGGAATCCAAGTTTTACATAGAAATATATAGAACAAACTTTAAAAATCTTCTTCTGAAGAACCACTGAGCCAGGAAAGCTGAAACTTATGTGGAAGAATCCTTGGGTAGTGTAGATATTAAATTGTCAAATTCATGACCCCCGGGGGTAGGGTGGGGCCACAATAGGGAATCCAAGTTTTACTTAGATATACACTGTATTTAGGAAAAATCTTTTTAGAATCTTCTTCTCAAGAACCACTGGGCCAGGAAAGCTGAAACTTGTGTCGAAGCATCCTGGGGTAGTGTAGATTCTAAAGTATTAAAATCATAAAAGGGAAAAGGGTAGTGGGGTACGATAGGTGTAGCAAGAGGGAAAATCTGGTAAAGAACTGCATCACCTAAGTTACTCAGGTGAGCGATGTGGCCCATGGACCTCTTGTATTAATGAAGTAGCCCCAAACAAGTCACTGATTTCAACGACAGTGAATGATCTATGAATAAAATGAAGTTTCAGTCATTTTTCTTTTTAGATATGAGAAAACATCAGTAAAGGAGCCACAATGGCCAGCAGGAAAACAATGGCGCAAGACGTCATCCTGTGTCACCTCTGTGACAGGAGAGCCGCTCAGCTTCACTGTAATCCCTGCCAGGTAAACTTATGTGAAGAATGCGTCGGAAAGCACTTTATGACGTCATCGTCTGCCACACACGAAATCGTCAAATACAAGGAAAGAAAATTCCAGTTAAAATTTACAAATTGCGATGCTCACAAAACTGAGAAATGTACCGTATTTTGTCGAGACTGCAATCTACCAGTTTGCATAAAATGTTTGACAGGGGTCCATAAAGGTCACGATGTTGCTGATTTTTCTGAAATCATTGATACAGCAAAATTCCAAATAGATGAAAACACAGCTATCCTTGAAGATATTCTTCCTCAGTTTGAACAAGCAGACAGACAAGTAGAGTCCAAAATAGCGGATTTATTTTCAAGATGTGATGAAATGCAAACATTAGCCATAGAACATGGGAAGAAATGGCATCAGGTTATTGATGATATTGTTCAGAAAGACAAAGATCTCATTTCTGAAATGAAAGAATCTGGCCTTAGAGATTTAAGAAAGTGTCAAGCAGAAATCAAGGATACAATCCAAGTCTTAATGAAAGCAGTTCAAAAGAACAAGAAGATCATTCAGTCTGTTGATGCAAATGAAATAAATCAATACGAATTACCATCACAAAATTTATACAGAGATATTTTATTGAATGTTGATATAAGACTTCCAATATTTGTCCCCAAGGCACCAGATACAATTCAACTGCATAAACTCTTCGGACAACTGAATGGACCTGTGATTTTACCCCAGATCAGCAAAAGAAAGGCTTCAATCTCAAACAATCGAACGTTATTAGATAAAGCTATTGAAATTAAAACATTTACAATTGAGAACATGTTAAGGAACTTGGCATGCCTTGGAACTGAAGAGGTTTGGATATCATATAGGTTAAAGCCAATCATCCACAGAGTCAACACAAAGGGTGATATACAGGAGACTGTTATATCAAGTTGTCTGGAATGGAATTGTCACCCTAGCAACATTTCGATTTCAAAAAATGGAGAGCTGATGTACACAGATAGAATAAGTGGATCTATTAATATTGTAAGGAGGGGCAAATCTACTACCCTTTTCTCTGTTGAAAAGGAATGGAAACCACTGGGGCTGTGCTGTACGAAATCAGGTGAATTGCTTGTCGCCATGGGTACCATTGACGACAAAAGATACAAGGTAGTGCGCTATAGAGGACGACAAGTAAAACAGGAAATAGAGAAAGATGACCACGGACATTTTTTATTTGGTGTGGGAGACAGAATGTTCTATGTGACGGAGAATTTCAATGGGGACATATGTGTTTCTGATAACAACTCCAGGGCCGTTGTTGTGATTAACCAATCAGGAAAAATACGATTCCGATATAAAGGAATACAAGAGATGGAGAAAGAATTTATTCCATGTGACATTGCTACGGACAGTATGGGTCGTATACTGGTAGGGGATAGCGGGAACAAATGTATCCACATTACTGATCAGGACGGACAGTTTCTCCATAGCATAAGTGGTTATGATATGTTTAGTATTGACGATCTCGGGCGATTATGGGTGGGAAAGTATGGGGGTTATAAAGTGAAAGTAATCAGTTATACCAAACAATAAACAGCAATTATTCTCAGTAGAATTGTCCCCTCTATTTTGTTATGTTACTTTTTACCAAAAGAAACTTTTTGTGTATCTATGAGAATTATGTGAATTAGTACCACTCTATCCAAGGGGCTGCATACCTAAAAGTTAAGACTTTCAATATTTGTTCCCAATCTACCAGATTCAATTCAACTACATTTTGATTTCAAGAAATGGAGATCTGATGTACACAGCTAGAACGAGTAGATCTATTGATATTGCTAAAAAGGGCACATCTACTAATTTGATTTCAGTTCTAAAAGGATGCAAAACGTTAAGGTTGTGCTGTACTAAATTGGTCGAATTGCTTGTCAGTATGCGCAGTAGTGATGGGAAAATATATGATTGTACGTTACAAAGGACAGAAAGTGAAACAGGAGATAGAGAAAGATGACTTTGGAAATTATTTGTTTACTGGAGGAGACAGAATGTTCAATGTGACAGAGAACTCCAATGAGGATATTTGTGTTTCTGAAGGCTCTGCTAAGGTCGTTGTGGTGTTGAGTAAGACAGGGAAACTTCGATACCGATATAAAGGAATAAAAACAATGGAAAAAGTTTATTTCATGTGCCATTGTAACGGACACCATAAGTGGTTGGGATGAAGGAAACAATTGTATCCATATCATTGATCATGACGAACAGTTTCTCCGAAGTCTGAGTTGCTACGATATGTTAGATATTGACGATATCGGGCGACTCTGGGTATGGGAATATATGGGTAATGAAGTGAAGGTCCTTCAGTACACTGAATTGTAAAATATTTTTATTAGAACGGTCGCCTCAATTCCAGAGAATTTGTCCATCTTATCACAATGATAAAAAATTTACTTAACTGTAACACAAAAGTAACACAATTCTGTATTTTTGAGAAAGGAATAATAACTATAAATACAGTGTATTTTGAAAATACTGCAATCTGTCAACTGTATGAAGAATATGAACTGAAAATAGTTGTCTGTTCATTTTTACCTCACCTCAACGAAGTTGGGGGAGCTTATGTAATACCCTCGGCGTCGCCGTCGGTGTCGGCGTCCCAGGTTAAGTTTTTTTCTTTTAAAGTACTTCTATGTCCTATATTGATTAGACATGCATGGAAGATGCTTCTAGTGTTTTTCATTGTAACAGTCAAAGTTTCAGATGCTGCAATTTCAGCAAAGGAATGTTATGATACAAAGGAAAGGAATGGATGATACATCTAAGGATGCACATTACCGGGCTTGCTTCGAATGCTGAATCTGACCTACATTTTCCAGTTGAATAAACAGGTTAATGTTTTTGGTGCAGGTCTCATTTCCAAGTAACTATAAGCCCTATGTTGACCAAACTTGCATGGATCAACATCTAAGGATGCACACTACCAGGCTTGCTTCGGATGCTGAATCTGACCTACATTTTCCAGTTGAGTGAACAGGTTAAAGTTTAAGGTGCAGGTTACATTTTTTAAGATACTATGAGCCCTATAATGACCAAACTTGCATGGATGATACATCTAAGGATGCATGCTACCAGACCTACTTTAGATGCTGGATCAGACCTACATTTACCGGATGAATGAACAGGATAAAGTTTTTGGTGCAGGTTTCATTTCCAAGTAACTATAAGCTCTATGTTGACCAAACTTGCATGGATGATACATCTAAGGATGCACATTACCAGGCTTGCTTCGGATGCTGTATCTGACCTACATTATCCGGTTGAGTGAACAGGTTAAAGTTTTTGATGCAGGTTTTATTTCTAAGTTACTATGAGCCCTATAATGATTTAGTGTAAATCACTTTTTATTCGCGAGAACTTTATTTTCGCGTTATTACGCGAGACAGTGTGCTCGCGAAAATTTAATTCTCGCGTATAATAGTATTCCTTAAGATTATATAGACCAATAACCACAATTCGCGAAAATTTCTTCTCGCTAATTAAGAGTCGATGACTATCTCGCGAAAATAAGGTGTCGCGAAAATTTAGTGATCTACAGTAACTTGCATGGATGATACATCTTAGGATGCATACTACCAGGCTTGCTTCGGATGCTGAATATGACCTACATTTTGTGGATGAGTGAAAAGATTAATTTTTGATGCAGATTTCATTTCCAAGTAACTATGAGTACTATAATGAGCAAACTTGCATGGACGATACATTTTAGGATACACACTAATGTACTCAGTACTTGCTTCGGATTCTGAATCCGAGATACATTTTTCAGATAATGGACCAGGTAAAAGTTATGGGTGCAGGTCTATTACCAAAAACTATAAGGCCTATATAAAATTGTATGAACCAAACTTGCACAAATGATGCATTAAGGGATGAAAACTCCCAAATTTGCTTCAGATGCTGGATTTTAATTACATTTTCATGAAAAAGAACTAGTTTGAAGGTTTTATAAAGGTCTATTCCAAAGTATCAGATCAAAATTGCATAAATATTTTCATTTTGGGATGTACACTTTTTGTTGGTTTTTAATTGTTTGACTTTGCCTTACTTAAAGACAGCATTCGTTGAGGTGAGCTCTGTAATCTCTGATAACCTATGTTTAAGCTCTACTAGTGAGAGACCAGAAGAGCTTATGCGATAGTAATGCGTCCGTTTTCAGTCCGTCCGTCCGTCCGTCTGTCTGTAAACTATTTTTCAAAATGCTACTCCTCCTACAGTTTTGGTCTGATTTCAATATACGAGGGGTGTTCAATAAATAATGTCATTAGCTCGATTACATACAGCATAGTAGTCATATGACATAAATCTTGACTATTTCTCATTATTGAATCTTTAATGAATTTATAACAGTTTATGTGACCACTTTTCATCACATAGTTTTATGGTGAGAAGCTGGGAAACAAGGGCTACTCGAGACACTGCATTATAAATGAATGGTAAAGAATCAGTAAACTAGAGTGCAAATAAAAGCAACATTAAAGCTGCTGTAAAACTTGTTAAAAATCCCAAAGAAATATTCACTGAAATATGCGACATTTACAGCAATCGATGCCTGTTTTATAGACAAATTAGCAGGTGGATTTCAAAGATAAAAAATTATATAATGGGCATCAAAAATGGGTACCCTCCTTGTCAACAAAAATTATAACAACTTATGTACTGTTTGCCAAATTTCAACAAATAATATTTGATGTTGTATGATTGACTTTAAGACACATAGCAAATTTGATATACATCATATCGGGAGTAGTTTACACTGTTTTTAAGAAACGTCTGACAGAAATTAAGCTTGGTATTCTAAGGTCACCCTGTATTTTGAAAAATTAGTGAAAACGACAGCGTGTACAAAAGTCTTAACAATTATTTTAAAATATCAGTAATTGTAATATTCCAGGTTTGTTTTATATTCAAACAGATATATGAACATGAATCTATTGCTCAAAACCATTAAAACAAAATCCACCCTAAGATGTACTTGATAAAAACGGCGAAGGTCTGTCAAGAGCAAAGGTATGCAAGAGCACAAAACAGATTTATATGCAATTTTCTTAAATATTAGTGGTATTATTGTTCAAATTCGTATTCGGGGAGACAGTTTAATATCTGGAGGTGTATACAAAGCAGTTTTTTTGGCAAAGAAATCGAAAGGTTTCTCAGAGAATGGACCCAGAATCAGGAATCCACTACATTGAATTTCTTCACGACAGCGTTTAAATCCGCATGCCCTAAAGAGTAAATGGGTTTACGGAATAAACAGAAAGTTAATGTTTTTCACCTTAACAATGTTTGCCAGATCTTTGACTTTTTGACTTGTTTCTATTTCCAAACTTGAATAAAACACCTTTCAGAAGGAAAAAACAAGTCCAGGAAATCATCAGATCTGCCATTTTCTAGTATACTAAGGGTCATACCCAAAAATAAGTTCTAAAAACAATCAGAAAATGGATAAAAAATTTTGCGGACATGTGTTTGAATTAAAATAGATTAATAAGTAAAATCATGAAGACTAAATCATTGAAAAGCGTCGTTTGCTTCTTTCTGAGCCCCAATGACATTATTTATTGAACGCCCCTCGTAACTTGACACACAAGTAGACTACACTAAGATACATAATTTTATGCATCGGTTTTTGATTTCGATGAACGTTTTGCCGTGGTTACTAAAAATGGAAATTTTATGAGATACTTTTATAATGCTATTCCTCTTACAGTTTTGTTCTGATTTCAATATAGCTTGGCACACAAGTAGAATACACTAAGATACATAATTCTGTGTATCGGATTTTGATTTTGATAAAAGGTGTTGCCCTGGTTACTAAAAATGAAAATTTCTTTGAAATACTTTTACAATGCTACTCCTCCTACAGTTTTGGTCTGATTTCAATATAATTTGGCACACAAGTAGACTTATTAAGATACATAATTCTGTGTTTCGGAATTTTTATTTTGATAAACGGTGTTGCCCTGGTTACTAAAAATGAAAATTTCTGTGAAATACTTTTAATCCTGCTACAGTTTTGGTCTGATTTTAATATAATATGGCATATAAGTAGACTACACTACAATATATAATTCTGTTTATCGGTTTTTGATTTCAATGCCTTTCATTTATTCTATTGTATCATAAGCTTTGTAACTTATTTTTGAGGAAAATTATATTCCTCTCTTAATAGGTAATGCTAGTACATGTGCTACATAGAGCAATATCGAGCCGCTATTGGTAATTATTACTGCAATAGCAGATGTACAACCAAGGCAGTGTGAAATATTATATCATATGAAGGATATGGAGGTAACGAACGGTATTCAATCTCAAATCTACTAATTTAATCTCATTGGGAAAAGGTTGGGAGCCAATAGGGCTATGCTGTACCAAATCAGACGTATTGTTTGTTAGTATGCGAAACAGTGACACCAAATGCTATCAAATTTTACGCTACAAAGGACGCAAGGTGGTACACAAGATAGAGAAAGCTTATTGCCAAAAATAAAAGTTTTGCTTAATCTATGAGAATTGTGTGCAATCTCAACGTCTATAAAACGATACAAAATAGGAGCAGAGCAAACACGGACTCCAAAACGTCCGAGGTGGGATCAGGTGCCATAGAGGAGTGAGCTTCCCCTACTGACCGGTCACACCCGCCGTGTGCTCCATGTCATGATCGGGAAATAACGGGAAATTTCGTCGTCAATTCAGTGTATAAATAATGAACTGACAATTATTATGAAAAACGTCAGTCAGCATTTGACTCAATGATAAATTGTATTTGCTGACAAGGTCAATGTATCGACCATAGAACTTACGAAATGATGACCTTAAACGAGACTGTTGAAATTCTTGTTTCATCATTTTCTTTGTCAATAATATACCCTGTTTTAGAAATTGTTCATACGTAAAACAGGCTCTTGCGTATCGAACCAACTGAGATATATAAATTCCGTATGCAGGTGATGAAGTTATATTGCTGCATAAATAAGGGAAGTTG